CCACAGCGTTAATTATAATATAAGCTTATGTGCGGATCAGCAGCATAAAAATGGCAGCGGCTGGACGCTCCGGCGTCGGTAGGCCTACAACTACCTACAACTTACAAGGATAGCCGGCGTCTACCCGATCATGCAAGATAACATTAACAACTAGACAGAGTGCACTCACGGAGAGTGCATACCTCCGCCAACGACATACGCCATACGACTCGCGAACACACGAATAACCCACGATATACGCCAGCGTACTGACATGTACACGCTGGCTTGCTGGCTTGCTACGAGCGAGCAGCCGCTCGTTGCTGCTGCTCGCTCACATGTACACGCTCGCTGGCTTGCTGGCTGACGCGCTAATATCGATCGCGCGAACACACGAAGAGCGAAAACATAATCTCCTCCAACTCCGTTGGGCGGAGGTAATAACAGTAGTAACACAGCAGCACTGCCACGGCCCAAGTATATAAGAGCTGTCCACATTTGCACATTTGCACATACATGTCGCACATTGCGAAAATGTGGTCAGCTCTTATATCCATGAACCCACTGCTACTGGCACTGGCACTAAAGACGACGTAACGTTGTAAGTAAAGACAACGTTTAATTATAATTGTTGGCATTACTAGCGCAACTGCAGTGCCCCTTCCAGTTCCATGTTTGTCTGTGCATATTTATTTAGTGTCAAAAGCCACTGCTGGATGTTGTCGAGATCTGCATAACAGAGCCGGAGAGGCGCACTGGAAATGGATCCACGATCAACTTTAGGGAAACGTACATGGCATACCTTGTCGAAACAAGGTAGGAGACCTGACACATGGATATTGAGTGATGTATAGTTCACACAGGCTTTCATTAATCGTGATTAATAAATCCCAAGTAGGTTTAAAGTATCTTTCTTAGCTTCTTATGTGAGATGATCAACAACCTGCAGTACTCCTATCTGCAGTTATGTAACTACGCGCAATCAAGTTTGTAGTGTTAATGGTCATGGTCGAGTGAAGTCGATGTCTGATTGTTTTCCTGTGTTCCATGTTGTTAGGCTGAAAGATAAGGATGAAGCCAAAAAGCTCTTTGACGGGCCGTGCAGCCTCTGGAGGAGGTACAGTGAGTTTGAACTGCTGCGAAACTATCTAGTAGTGAAGTATCCACATGTTGTCGTACCTCCTCTGCCAGAGAAAACTGTAAGTTAAATAGATGACTATATATCTCTCTCGCTCTCTTTCTCTCTCTCTCTCTCTCTCTCTCTCTACTCTACTACT